TTCAAAACAAACTGCAGGGCTTCCCTGGTGGCGCAGTAATTAAGAATCTGCCTGCCAGTGCAGGGGACACGGGTTCAAGCCCTGGTCCAGGAAGATCCCACATGCTGCGGAGCAACTAAGCCCGAGCGCCACAACTGCTGAGCCTGCGCTCTAGAGCCCGTGAGCCACAATTACTGAGCCCGTGAGTCACAACTACTGAAGCCTGCACGCCTAGAGCCTGTGCTCCGCAACAAGAGAAGCCACTGCAATGAGAAGCCCACGCACCGCAACAAAGAGTAGCCCCAGCTCACCGCAACTAGAGAAAGCCCGCGTGCAGCAACGGAGACCCAACGCAGCCAAAAGTAAATAAACAAATTTATCAAACAAACAAACAAAAAACCTCAGTCATTAGAGCCGCCCAGAGCTGGTGTGCTTCGGGGGTGATGAGGCAGCCTTTGAAGCTGAGCGTACAGAGGGATCATCAGCTGCAAAGAGCCGGGCTCGGCAGGTGCGCATGGAGCGCGGCAGGCGAACCACGAAGTCTGCGGAGCGCGGCAGGCAGAGCCACGAAGTCTGCACGGCTCCTCCTCGCTCACTTCTACAGCAGGTTCTAAATCCGCATCAAGGATGCGGCCTGAGGCTCACACCAGCCGGCCCATGACGCACGTCTCCAATGGAGCAGAGAAACGCATGACCAAGGGTTCTCTGCAGCCACATGTAGTACCTCTCAGGGACCTCTCAGGGACTGGGGCTCCAGCCCCAAATAAACCGTGTGGAGCTCCTAGGACGCACAGACCAGGATTCAAACCCTGTTTCTATGGCTTCCTAGCTGTTCAACACAGGGCTCGACTCTGCTGTGCAACAGAGGACAGCAGCACCATCTCGCAGCATTCAGGTGAGATGGAACCAGGTACCGACAAAGGCTCAGCCAGCTTCACCACTCTCACCATCTCCACCACGCAGTGTGCACAGGTGAGAACTGGACCCCAGGAGCCCCCGCTCCACTCCATCCCCCACTCTCCACCAAGGCAGAGAAATGCAGGCATCACAGCCCCACGTGTCCCCGCACAAGCTTCCCTGCTCCCCTGTCCTTCGAGGTCGTCCACAAGGTTCTGAGCCACAAAGAGACGCAGCCTCCCATCCACCCCGGCCCACAGTGCCCCTGGCTCTGCAAACGCCAGGGCTATGGAGTGAGGTGCTGGGTCCCGAAGACGCCAGGATGCTCTTGGGACCCGCTAGGGCACAGGCGGCTGCATGGCAGTGTCAGGGGAGCTCTGCATGGAGAACACTGACAGGGACACACCTAGAGCCGCTCACAAGCCCTGAATACTCGCGTGTCCTCAGCACACCTCCAAGGAAACAGGATCAGCGTTCAAGCGCCAAAACCAGTGCTGGGGCGGCCACAAAAGAAAGGCAAGGTGCCCTGGGCTGTAATTAAACTCCTGTCCAAAGGCACTGACACACCCATTCATATCAGTGACCAGTGGCGCCCTGGAGCTGTCCGAGGTCGGCCACGAAATGGAAAGCACAGAGAGGCTGGCCTGGCGGTCCAGGACAGCCCGCTAACAGAGAGGCACACAACTATTAGCTCTCCCTGAAGGACACGCTTACAAGGTGCCAACCAGAACCCCGCGAGACCTCTGGCCCCACCACCACCTGCACGCCACCTGGGGTCTCCTGAGCGCTGCTGAACGCCAGGCACCTCCTGCCATCTCGGCCCCACCCCAAACGGCCCTCCGAACCCTCCGACCGGACCCCCGCCTGCCTGCGTGCTGGCCAGACCCCAGGCTTTCACCCTCTTGCCAAGGTGCCTCTTCCCGCCTAACCTGAATTTCTGCCCAACTGCCTTTAAAGACGTGAGGAAGTGAAATCAGCTGTTCCCGCCTCCCGAGGCTTCCTGGCCTCCACACGGACCGCCCCCATCACGGCCACGTCGGCCTGCTGCTGTGAGAGCAGCAGCGGCCCAGACCCCTACGAGCGTGAACGGTGCGGCGCACACGTCCCCTCCCCGTTCTGCTCGGCGAGGGCCTCGAGGGCACTGGACCCCAGCTCCCTGCCGCCTCCTCACAGGGCCTGCACGGGACTCTACCACGAACAGACGGGGCAGGAACCCGACGGCCCCTCATCGGCTGAGGCCTTAAGAACATTCCCGGGCTTCTCTGATCCATTCCATCACCGGGAGGAGGGAGATCTCCCGCGGGAGCTCCCTGAGGTGAGGGGATGACGCACATACGCACTGGGCACGACGCCAGCACACGGAAGCGCCCCTTGGGTGGCCACATGGTCAGGACCGGTCTGCTGAATGAGGATGGGACCGAGAGCACCTCCACCTGGCGGGCAGGCGGCCGTGCCTAGGTCCTGTGCCCCGCGCTGTCACACCTCACCTCACCTCCCGCGGCCCATCCTGCAGAAGAGGTGAGGCACGCGGCTCTTTCTCGGGATGCCCGAGACTCAGTTGCTCCTGGGTGGCTGCATCGGCTCTCAGAGGGAGCCCAAGGGTCCTGAGAGGTGGACAAGTTGGCAGGAGTCACGCAGACCTACCAGCCACCATGAAGGACTGCTCCCGGCGGTGGAGAGTCCACTCCTGAACCAACCCAAAGAAGAGACGGGACGGCTGAATCTATACGTGACCACAGTCGAAAGCACTGCCGGAGCTGCGGACGAGAGCTACATTCACGAAGCTGAGAGGCTGGATTTCCTGCTGCTGCTCAAGGCAGGTCATTTTAGAAAGTACCTCTCAGTTTGGCGGGAGTAAAATGCAGACAAGTTTCCATTCCTCTAATAGTTCATTCTTTTTCAAATTCAAAGTAAAACAAAGAGGATCGCCTGGGAAAATGTCAAACGCTTTCATTTCAAATCACTTTTAACGCCTGTTTCATCTGACAGTAGCTTTGAAAGCAAAAGGCAGTCTTTATCATTTGAGGGTTTTTTTTTTAAGTTTTTAAAAAATTAATTAATCAACTTTTTTTTTTGGCTGTGTTGGGTCTTCGTTGCTGCATGCAGGATTTCTCTAGTTGCGGCGAGCGGGAGCTACTCGTCGTTGCGGTGTGCAGGCTTCTCGTTGCAGTGGCTTCTCTTGCTGAGGAGCACAGGCTCTAGGCGAGTGGGCTTCAGTAGTTGTGGCACACAGGCTCAGTAGTTGTGGCACGCGGGCTCAGTAGTTGTGGCATGCGGGCTCAGTAGTTGTGGCTCATGGGCTCTAGAGCACAGGCTCAGCAGCTGCGGCACACGGGCTCAGTTGTTCCACGGCATGTGGGATCTTCCTGGACCAGGGCTCGAACCCGTGTCCCCTGAATTGGCAGGCGGACTCTCAACCACTGCGCCACGAGGGTAGTCCTCATTTGAGGTTTTTAAGCTAAATTGATGTGATTATGTCCAACATAACCAGATGCTTCTAAAAGCCAATTTTCAAAGAGACATCAGCCCCCCAAATAAGAAAGCCTTCCTTCGGTTATTAATAAATTATTGAAACGCCAACTGCACAGGGGGTGAGGCCGCAGAGGATGCTCGCGGAGAGCAGGCTGACTTCCACCCCCAACCAGCTAGCCAGCCAGTGCAGGGCACCCGAGGTCCCTCTGTGGTCACCGTCCTCTCAGCCTGCCCCCAAGCCCTTCACCCACTGGAGGGGCTGACCTCACTCAGCTTTCCACCCTCAAGTGAATCACGTGGGAACTGACTAGTTTAACACCATCCTCCACAGATACCTGGTCTGGGGCACACTTTCAACCCCATTTGGGCCAGTGAGAGTGACTGGGGTGGGGGGAGTCTGCCGCCAGTGGGGGTCCTCAGACAGGTTTCCTTGTTCTAAAAAGGAGACCCAAGAAGGAGACCTCTCTTTCTGCCTCTTATGCGACACCCAGAACCTGGTCAGCCACCCTGCAAGCACGAGAGAAACCAGCCTGGGCCCCAGGGGACAGAGGTGGGCAGCCCTGCAACAGTCCAAGTGCGGCTCGGTGAGGAGCACGCGTCTGGCTTGGTGCCCTACGCAGCACAGAGCTCCACAAACCCTTGGGATTTCCTGCACGAGGTGAGTGCCTTTTGTGAACACGCCCCTCCAGCCAGAGCCCTGGGCAGGAAGGGCGGGGGAGAAGCCAGAGGAACCAACCAGCGGAAGAGAAGTTGGAACTTTCAGCTCCACCCCCGCCCCGCCTCCAGGGAGGGGAGCGGAGATAGAGACCAAGTGAACCACCAATGGCCACGACTTAATCAAGCAGGAAACTCCATAGACACTGCTGAACAAGGCGGCTTCGAGTCACTGGACACAAGGAGGAGCTGGGAGGGCAGCACACCTGGAGAGGACACGGCAGCTCTGCCCCCAGCCGGCTGATCCCAGCTGCACCCTTTGTAATAAACCAGTAATCCTAAATAAAGTGCTTTCTAGCAAACCGGCAGAGAGGGGCTGGGGGGACCCTGAATTTGCAGTCAGATGAAGTGCGGGTAGCCTGGGAACCCCGAGGCAGGCGCGCCTTGTGGGACCGAGCCCTCACCTGTGGGGCCTGGCTGACCTGGGAGTTAGTGGCGGAGCTGAACTGACTCCTGGGGCACCAGCAGGTGTCAGAGGCAGAACTGGTACGGAACCAGTTCCTCAGGTCCTGGAGGGAGTCAGAGCTGCCCGCCCGGGCGTGGACACGAATGGCCCGGCTGTGCTGCTACGTGGGACCCTTCCCGAGGACACAAGTCCACACACGTACAAACACTCAGACACTTCAACCCAGGTTCCAGGTTTCCACACGTTCATGGGGCCACTCAGAGCCCACGCCTCCACAAAGACGCAAATGCTTCTGGTGGGGCGCACGTCTTCCTCCCAGACCCCACGCCCTGGAAGGCAGCCCAGGGCTCCAGGGCTGATCTCACAGCGTCCAGGTGACAGTACACCCGCCGCCTCAGCTGAGTCTCACTGCTCGCTCAGGCCGAGGCAGGGATGGCGAAGCACAGCCACTCCTCAGCCAGGGGCACACTCACCGGCACCCCGCGTTCCGAAGCGGACATGTCGCCACAAAACCATGGGCCGCCAGGCCTACCTGCTGGTGATGGAGCTGTTCCTGTCCTTGAGGGTGAGCTCGCGCTGCTGCAGCTCCACGATGAACCTGGACAAGTCCTCTGGGGTCCTGGGGGGGATCAAGAACACATGTCAGTGCTGGTTGTGCCCTGAAGGGGGACTGGTTGACACTAGAAGGCGGCCCAAAGCCACGCCAGCCACGGGCGGTTCACAGGCCTGGGGCGGATTAGGGCCTGTGCACCGTCCCCGGAGCAGCGGGGTGTGGAGCTGTGCTCTCACCGCCACCTGGGCTCACACAGCCAGCCGCTAGCCACGTAACACTGGGGACACTACTTTTATAAGCCCTGATTTTACTTCACCTGTAAAAATAGGGTCGATACATAACAATGTCACCATGCAGAGGATTTGAAGTGAGCTTTAAAAGCACCTACCAGGCAGCAAGCAGAGGAGGTGCCCAGTGCATTCCAGTTGCCTTTCCTCCTTCCGCTTCAAAATCCAGGTATGAGAACAGCAGCAATGTAACAACCACAACAGATACCCACATGCCCAATGCCTCGTAATTTTCAAAAGTACTCCAGCTTAACGATCTCAGTTAATGCTCAGAGCAGCCCTGCTGTCTACTGTTTCCATTTTGCAAATGGGGAAACTGAGACTCAAAGACACGGATGGCTGGTTCAAAGGCCACCCACTCTCAGCAGCACGAAGCCTCAATCTGAACCCCCTCCTCTAGCTCAGCACCATGGCTCGGGAGAACGTACACCAAGAATGTCTTTGACATACAGGTGGCCAACAGGGACATGAAAACACGCTCAACATCGCCAATTACTAGAAAAATACAAATCAAAACTACAGTGAGGTACCACGTCACCAGGTCAGAATGGCCATCATCAAAACATCGACAAATAAGACATGCTGGAGAGGGCGCAGAGGAAAGGGAACCCCCCTACACTGTTGGTGGGAATATAAATTGGTACAGCCACTATGGAGAACAGTATGGAGGTTCCTCAGAAAACTAAAAATGGAACTACCATATGATCCTGCAATCCCACCCCTGGGAGAGGGACTGGAGAAAACTCTAATTCAAAAAGATACCTGCATCTCAATGGTCACTGAAGCACTATTTACAATAGCCAAAACATGGAAGCAACCTAAGTGTCCATCAACAGATGTGTGGATAAAGAAGATGTACACACACACACACACACACACACACACACACACACACAATGGAATACTACTCAGCCATAAAAAAGAATGAAATAATGCCATTTGCAGCAACATGGATAGACCTAGAGATTGTCATACTGAGTGAAGTTAAGCTAGACAGGGAAAGACATTTATCATGTGATATCACTTACATGTGGAATCTAAAAAAATGATACAAATGAACTTATTTACAAAACACAAATAGACCCATAGACATAGAAAACAAACTTATGGTTATCAAAGTGGGGAGGGGGGATAAATTTGAAATTTGAGATCAACATATACACACTACTGTATATAAAATAGATAAACAACAAGGATCTACTGTACAGCACAGGCAACTATACTCAATATCTTGCAATAACCTATACTGAAAAAGAATCTGAAAAAGAACAGATGTATTTAACTGAATCACTGTGCTGTACACCTGAAACTAACAACATTGTAAATTAACTATATTTCAATTTTTTTAAATGGCTGATTTTATTTTTAAAATGTCTTTGAGAGACAGGATGGAACACCCAGCGGAGTGCAAACATTCCCGACACCTGCATGGGGCACACGGACAAGACGGCTCGCTGGCGTGCAGCGGCCGAGAGGAGGTGAGCGCAAGGGCCGGAGCCAGAGCCCAGGGCTGCGCAGGGGTCACGGCTCGGGACCCACAGGCCCTCCTCCCGGCCCCCAGAGCCAGCGCACTGCCCAGTCTCCAAGAGCACTCTCTGGCCTCCTCACCCCTCCAGCTGAAGTCGGCACCTGCAGTCACGTCGTACCGAAGGACCGCTCACAGAAACCTGCTGAAACCGAGCCTCGAGTCCGGGGCCCACAGACTCTGCACCGCAGGGCCCCTGGGGCCTCCTCACCTCCCACTGGACTTTCCTCTGCCGCCTGAACACGGCAATCCGCCTGCTCCCCGAAACTCTGCGATAGTTAACCCTGGGCCTGCAAAGCTCTTCCCTCAGTCTCCCCAAGCCTAGCTCGTTCTCAAAAGAGAGGTCTCAGGAAAGATGTCACTTCCTCCAAGAAGCCCCCAACCCTCTCCCCACCCCATCACGACCCTCGCTGCACAGCACCACCACCCCTGCTATCAGTTTGGGCTCTCTCAGTATCTGCCATCGCTAGAACGTTAGCCCAAAGACTTCCGCTTGTCGGTGGTACGTCCTGACAGCGCAGTGCAGCCCCTGCAGAGAGGGGGCCCATGGCCCCACTCGTCACACACAGGGGTTCTGGCATCAACATTCCTCCCAAGGTAATTCCACGATCTCTCCCTTTCAGACCACCTCATGGAGGCCCTTCCCTGGCCACCAGAAGAAAAGCCCTTTCTTGGACATTTTGTGAGGACGTGGCCTCAAGGTGTGAGAACCGCTAGGCACAGTGCCGAGATTTCTACCCTAACTCTGCCCTGAACACAAGCCAACTTTGTGGATTAGAAAATACTTACATTGAAAAGATGTTTACCAGTAGAAGACCTTGAGAAACTAAAACCTAGAAGGGGGAGAGGTTGAACCAGCCTTGAATGCCAATTCCCCATTCTTTTCAGAGCTTCCTAATGTTTTCCAACCTCAGGGAGCTAAAGATACTAATAGGAAAATAAGTAAGCAAAACAAGTAAACCCTTTTAAGCCAAGAGGTATTTTTTCGAAACACTGTTAAGAGATTTAAGCTGTTTTCTATTTTTCTGTGTTAGTCAAAGGAGTACGCAAACTATTATTAAATCAATGGGAAGTTTATTTAAAACCAATGAAGCAACTTGCGTGTCTACTTTTGCAAGGCCCCCAGTCCCTATGGGCCCAGGACCAGCCAACGCCGTGTGGGACAGGCAGACGGGTGCCCAGAGGGTGACTGAGGGAGCATGACGACGACCAGCCTCCTCCTCACTCCCCTTCCAGGCTGGGCCAAGTCTGCTCAGACCTGAAAGAGCAGGAAGAGCCCGTGGAGAAGCATCTGTCAGACAGACGGCCACACACTCTGCGGGGCCTCTCACTAGCCGAGGGGCAGCAACACTCTCCAAGCAGAAGCCTTCCTGGAAGCGGGAGAGCAACCGGCAGAGTCCAGAGCACGTGGCAGCAGTTTAGAAACAAGAGTCCTGCCCTGAGGTACAAAGTAGCCCCACAGGCTTCTCTGGTGGCGCAGTGGTTGAGAGTCCGCCTGCCGATGCAGGGGACGCGGGTTCGTGCCCCGGTCCGGGAAGATCCCACGTGCCGCGGAGCGGCTAGGCCCATGAGCCATGGCCGCTGAGCCTGCGCGTCCGGAGCCTGTGCTCCGCAACGGGAGAGGCCGCAGCAGTGAGAGGTCCGCGTACCGCAAAAAAAAAAACAAAAAAAAAAACCAGAGTACTTGTGAGGCACTGGTTTGAGAATGTTCCACGTGAGAAAAAGAAAAGATAGCGAGGTGGGTTTGGCAACACGTAGACATTCTTGAGGCCGCGACGGGGCGAACCGAGGGCGCAGGTGAAGTTTGATCAAGGGGGCAGGAGGCCTGGCTTCAGGAGACCTCTGTCTATACTGACAGCAGTACTATGAACACACCTGAAGAGAAGGAAGTAGGAAGAAATGAGGGCCTAAAGGACTCCCAAGGTAACCCAGTCCCCTGGGTGGACAGGCAGGAGGCATCTGGGTAACAGAGGACAGGATCCCGGGCAGACTCACGCATCCCCGAGGTCCCACCATGGGCTCCTTGGGGAAGAAACCCAAGCAGGAGAGCTCACTCATCCAGCACCGTGGCTCCTGTGACCTAGCAAGACAAGTCGCTAGCAAGGCTACCGCCCTGCCCTACTGCCCCAAGGAGGGCTGAGCCGTCCTCCTGGACCAGGTAAGAAGAGCAGCTGAAAGGGGAGACCGCACCCATCGACCAGCAACTGCACTTCCAGGAACACGTCTCAAGGAAGCAACCAGGGGTGTGCCCTACGTATGGTGAAGTACGCATCGTGGCATTGCTCGTTTCTTAATGGTGGTAAAACACACGTAACACAGACCTTCCCACCTAAACCACTTCTGAGTGCACACTCAGCGTCAGTGAGTCGTGCAGCCGTCACCACCATGCGTCTCCAGAACTTTCTCACGTTCCCCAACTGAGACCCTGCAGCCACTAAACAACAACCGCAATTCCCCCCACTCCCAAGCCAGCCCTTGGCGCCCACCCTCTACTCTATGAATGCGACGCCTCCAGGGACCTCATATAAGTAAAATCATGCACTATCTGTCCTTCTGTGTCTGTCTTAATTCACTTGGCCTGAGGTCCTCAGTGTGCCAGATGTCTTATGTGACATTTGTTATACAGCAGAAACTAACACACCATTCCTCTTTAAGGCTGAGTAATACTCCACTGCCTGGATATACTTACTTTACGTAAGCATTCATCCTTCAATGGGCACTTGGGTTGTTCCTACCCTTTGGCTACTGTGAATAATGCTGCTATGTGTTCAGCTCTTTACTTTCAACTCCTCTGGATATACACCCAGAAGAAGAACTGCTGCATCATTCCATTTGCAATTGTTTGAGGAACCGCCATACCATTTTCTATACCAGCTGTATGATTTTACGTTCCCTGTGTATTTGTTTTTACTTTAAAAAAAAAAACCTCAACAAGAGAAAATAAGTGAATAAGTTCTCACAGCCATAACACGGGCTACTATATTTGTTAAATCTGATGCTAGGCAAAAAGAGCTGGCCAGATGGCCGCTACAGATCACAAAACGCACAAGAGAACATAGGAGGGCATACTCCCTCCTGGTCAGGGCAATGGGATACGTACGGCTTCATGGGATGTGGCATTGTAAAGTGGGGGGGGGGGGGGGCGGGGTCTGGAATAGTCAGAGTAACCCATGGGCCATTTGCACCAGAATCATCTGGATTAACTCCAGCCCACCTACCTCCAACTCCAGACCCACTGAAACGAAACCCCTGGA